AATTCTGCTGAATCCCTGTTCAGAGCTCTAACACCTATTCTGTGGAAACTAACTCTCAACTGGAGGGCAAATCTGGTAACATCAGTAGACAGTACATTGCCTCAGCAAATCAATCCGGTATCCATTCTGTCCTCTTCTAATTCATTCACTGAATCGAAAACGCCGACGAATACTGTAAAAGCATTCCACTAAGACTGAATTAACACGTGCTCATGCTTCAACCCCTCCAACACTTTGTGACATCGTGCCATCCCGTTACAGGTATTCCCGGGGCCGCCTGTAAATAGGGCGTTGTATGCTACATGCGCTGGCAAGAACTGGCCCCACCATCCTAAACTCCGTATATACATGTTAGCAGTCACTTTGATTGGATACCACAATCTCTCTTTTACATCAGCATTTGACGGCAGACCCTATCTCTTCATATCTGATTATGATCTTAAGTTCCAGTCAAGTTATTTCCTGTTTTCTGCTGCATGTTTTGTTAGGTGGTGCCTTCTCCAGGCCGTAGAGCATAATGTTCAAAATGCAAGTTTTATACATGTGCAGCCTAGCCTAACTGAAGTTAATACCACCATACAATGACTTTTAACTTCGCTTGCCACTCGTCGAACCGCAGTCAGTGCAACCCCGAGGTATAGATGTTTTCGCATCTTTTGAAGTTAGGCTAAGAGTAAGGCAGTCACTGTTCTGGTTTATACAATTTCTATTCACTTCATTTTCTTTAAGTTAATCGAGAAACCCAGACTGGAAAACCTTTGCCTCAGTTTCAGAAACAACCAGGCAGGAGTCTTGAAGTTGTATACTGGCAATACGAATGTGCAGGGGCCATTCAGACGTTATATAAAAAAGATATGTCTAATTGTTTCTCACATAATCGAAATCACGAGACTACGATCGAATGCTTAAATCCTGCCTCAAAGTAAATGCTGAACAACTGGTCTACACTTTCGAGGAAGCTTTCTACGAAATATCTGGTAAGTTGATCTGTTTTATTCTAAACACATCTTTCAAGTTAGATTAGGGATTAAGTTACTTGCATCTGTTTAGACAAGGCTTCAGGAAAAAGAGCTGAAACTACCGCGCCCATTAATAAAAAATATCTCTACACTGGGATGGATTGTTTCAGAAAATGGAAGGAAATTATTCGCGCTTGCCCCCTCCGAGGAAGGGCATTATAAGACTGCCAAGAATGCTTCATCATGCTATTATCTTTCTGAATGTAAATTAGCATTCTAGATTCAGCATCGATACTTATTTCGCCACAAAAATTTTAACTCACTAGTAGATCCCATGTTCTCAAACGTGTAAGCACGTTAAAGCACGTGTACGTCCTATAATATCGGTAATAAAATAATCGGAAATCATAAAGACGCTTCAAAAGCGTTCTAAAATTACAGCATTTCCAACGGAGGTTAATAACTTGTCTAGAAACAGGTTTAAATCCTGAAATACGAAAGAGGTGGATTATGATCAGTGATTAAGCAGTGACCATATACGGCAATTACATACACGCTCGCTCGACACCGCTGAATGTGGAATCCATCACTTCACACTGTTTTGAAGAATGACTGTTTCCAAATCCGCCAGTGAGGTGAACCTGGAGACATTGCTTTGTGTGCGGTGGGGTAAGTGTCACGTTTTGATGGCCTGTTTCCCAATACCCATTCCAGTATGATGGCATGAGCTTCTCATGCGTTGCAATAAGGTCACTTATGTATCATAAACTTAAACGCTGAGAAGTGAGTTTGCTTTACTCGGTTGCCCTAAGCGATTCCTTGATGATCTTCACACCAGAGTCGTCTGGTTTAAGAACTACGAATTTCCGAACAAGTCTACTTACTATTTATGTCGACTTCCATGCAAACCGACCACTCGGAGCGGCTGATCTTGCGATCGTGGTCCAGATCACAGAATCGAGGAAACTGGCGCGAGCACTGCAACGGCAGAACGTGCTCTTTAACGACGCGCTTCAACGCAGCAACCTCCTTGAAACTGATCTTGTCGTCGCCGTTCGTGTCCAAGGCGTCGAACTTCCACTCGACGATGCGTTTGCTCGGTGATACGATCACACCCATTTCTAAAAAAGCGATACAATTTACGTGGAATCATCGCTTCAGCTAAACGGCAGTCCAAATTTCAGTAGCAGTCCAACACTCAGCTGCCTTCTACAAGCCTAATCCATTCTCGTCTTTAACACGACTGTCGTTATCCTTGCAAAATCTTTACGGTTTATTGCAAACTATAAATGCTATCATATCTATGGTCGTAATCGCGACAGTCATGGTTACTGTAATCATTAATTTTTCCGCTAAACAGGTAAATTCAGAGGCGACACCTGCCGTGAGGGTAAGGCATTATATTTTTAACAACACTCTAATTAGATACGCGTTTTTATCCAGCCGTTTCCCGAAACAATTCAAAACGTTCTACGTTTGTCAACATTTCAACCAGAAGAGATCTTGAAAAAAGTGATTCAGAAACTCTCAAACAACTCTACTAACAATCTCATATCAATTTTCCGGATTTTCATGGGCGTACTCTTTTCTCTCTGGATCGCTGCTTTGTTTCCGTCCTTTTGTTGAACGCAACTTTCTATAATACTGCGGTATTCCTATTTACTGTGATTCTTCGTTTTCATATTTTGCATTCTTCAGTTTCAGTTTGATTTCCTGCTTTGTTTCTTTCGAGAGTGCGTTCTGTGTCAATCAAGTTTCGGATGACTTTATCACGTAGAAAAAGGGATTCATTGCAAATTTCAACCCAGCAGGAAAAGATTCGCTCGTCCACCCATTCAGCCATTAATTTTCAAAGGTTTCCGCCAATCTATCATTTCTATAGTAGCTATAATTTGCAACAGTCTCAAAACCAAGGATACAGAGAGATGATATTCAGAATGAAATCCGGACAGTTTACGATCTTCAACCGTTTCTTACCGATCTTGTTAAACAATTTAGCAACTTTTCCTCTACTCTATTAATCTCCGTAGTTATGCACGAAATTAAGAGGAAAAAATGCTACAAAAATGAATGACTATTCGATTACGCAGGAATTTCTTGATCTTCGGCTTACAAATAAATTTACGAACAGTATTGTTCTCTTCAGCTAAGTATTGCCAGTCATCTGCCCCCTCTTCACCCGCCATGTGACAATAGGAGAAGCTCAGTCTCGATTGCATCTCTTCAACAACTTCCGTTTCTGGCAGTCTGTAAACATGGGGCAAGAATATGGCACCTGCCTATGAGATACGCAATCTCCGTCTGGATGGTGTCAACTCGATTGTGGTTGCCGAAGTAGTTGTGCAAGAAATTTCATAGCTTTCCTTCCCCCAATCTGAGCGGGTACTTTCGTATATGTAAAAATTATTTACATACTCTAAAAGATTCAGTTGATATATACCCTTTCATCGTAAGTCTTTCAAAGTAGCAGGAGCGTGATAATCAGTTCCTAAAGGATGTATAGTTAAGGCTCTATACTGTAAGAGATTCCACCATGATGTGAAAACCTGAGACATATACCTGACCAAGTAAGAAAAGCAGCACTCACAAACCCGTCTGACAAACGTGGCAAGTGATGGCCAAATCGTCCAAGATTAAATCACAACTTAAACTACGGCCCTCGTTTGCCGGAGACTAGACTACCACCGACGTAGACAGCAACTGGTCAGGCATGAAGGCGAAAGGTGGTAAGCATACCTGTTTAATGGGTATGAGCTGCAGCTGTTTGCCAGCGATGACAACGTGCAACTGCAGATCATTTCTAGGTGAAACAAGGCACTGAGAACTGCAAAAAGAAGTCAGTAAAATAATGAGACATTTGCATTTCAGCTAAGTTAGACGAAAGGAGGGGGACATAGTTAGAGCGCAACAGCAGAAATCCAGGGAATATGGTTCATTACGCATAGAATATTAAGTAGCGCTGTAGTGCAAGTTGAACGCACTTCCAAGAAGTGTGTAGGAGTGGTTCTGAGAGTTTGAAAGGAATACGAACTTCAGGTGATCCAAGTATATGCGCCGACATCAAGTCATCCTGATGAAGAATTTCATGAGGAAATAAAAGTATCAAAAGATCCACTATGAATTCATCATTCGTGATTCCAACATCCAACAAAGTCAAACTGCATCAAGGAAAGAAATGCCATGTGGGTCAATTTGCACACGGCAAAAGGAACGGCAAGGAAGATCGAAGAGCTTTTTCCAAAGAACAAGTTACTTATGAAGAACATATTTTCATAAAAAGCCTACCAAACAATGTCATGAATGAAATCGGCTTCATCCTCAGTAGCACAAATACAGCAAAGTAGAACGTCGTCATGCTCAACAGGTCTCATAAGGGAAACAATCAGACTCGTCAGGTCCAAAGGCGCCTGAACTCAGCTTCAGAAAGAACGAAATTGCTGAAGAAGTTCCGTACGATCTGGCAAAACACTTGACATGGAAACTGTAAAATCCCATACCGTTCTGACTGAAATCTAATAACTGATGCGACATCCTTCACGGAATGGAAGAAGAAGGGGCTGGAGAAGCAGTTGAAATTATTGCAATCTATCATTAAACAACGACGGTAGATACGGAAGGGGCAGCAAGAATCTCCAGAACAAGGATCATGAAGGTCGACGGCAAAATCAGGAAGCAAGTGAAAGTACCAGAAGGAACGAAGATAAATGAAGAAAGCAACAGAGGAGAACTCATAGATCGAACATGCGAAACTGCAAAACTGTAAAGAAACTGAAAAACGAAGGCGTCTGAGCCTTCAAATGCAGATTGATAAAGAAAACTGTTGAAAACGCTCGAAGTATGAAGAAATTAAATTACTGGTGAAGGGAAATGACAAATATTTGCTATCAAAGCAAAAGACCGGGCTCTGATCAGGAAAGGACAAGAGAATCCAAAGAGAAATGAGGACTTCTACAGAGAACTACAAGATAATTATATACAAAAATGAAAACAGCAACACTCACGATGACGGCATGGAACCTGAAGATACATGTGAAGCTGACGTAATTCCAGATACTTTGGGAGAATAAGTACCACAAGCAATTAAACAGAAGAAGCAGGACGGGCTCCTAGCAAAAACCGCATTACAACGAATCTCATGGAATTAGGAGGTAAAGCACCGACTAAGATATTTCTTAAACACTGTCTCAAGGTACAGAAAATTCCAAAAGATTGGACTTCCACATCAGCGATTCTACTTCATAAAAACCGAGACAAAGAAAATTCTAAGAACCATAGGCTGATCATCCAATCATAAAAAGATATTCATGAATGTACTGACGAATGGATTTTAAGAAATGCCAAGCCAAACGAACAAGCATGTTTCAGAAATGAATTTAGTACGATGGATCATCTTCAGGTGATAGAAAAAATGACTCAGAGAAGTGGTGAACGTCAGCTTCTTATCTGACAGGTATTCGTTGACTTCAAGAAAGCTTTTGATGCATTCTTCATTGGAAAATCAAGAAAAGGGTATCTTACTCGTCCTAAGGAGTTACATTAATGCAACTGCTACTGTGAAGCTTCATAAATGCACAAGCAAATTCAAGATCTATAAGTGCGCTGACAGGGTGAAGCAACATCACTGAAGTGATTCACAGCGACTCCAGAATATGTTTTCAAGGTACTCCACTGGAAAATTCAACAGCTGGAGATACGATGGCACCAATGAAGCCATGTTGGGCGAGCGAATGATAATCTGATCCCCTCAAGATCACCAGAAGAACTCCACAGAAAATGCAATGGCTGAAAGATGCCAAAGTAGGACCGAAAATGAACTTGAAGTGGTGAGGTCATCTTTATCAAACACGT